ACCTCATGAAAAGCAAGGCATCGTCGGCCAACCGCATTGAGCTTCAGTATACCTCTGACCTCTCATACCTCTTACCTTTGGCCCTGATTTTCTCAATTGAGTTTCTTGGAAACCTCTTCTAGAACTGCTATGATAATATAAGTGCCCTTGCGACACCCATTCTGATTTTGAATTTGCCATTGTTTTCATGACGTTTTACATTCGGCAATTCTCTAAGTCATGCAGATGAGGTTTCGGTATCTTTTCGAGAGTTATTCGCTCTTCTATAGATCAACTGTACACTGAATCGAAGACCTGCCGAAAACTGACGATTTACAGACAGAGGCAAACGTGAACTGCTTTGCTTATTGGCTTGAATTACTCCTTGTAGCACCTGCAGACGATCCATTGCATTAAATTAATTATTAATGTGATTAATTATTATTTTAAAGTGATTTATTCAGCGACGGTATCGAAAGCTGTTCCAGAACATCGAGGTTATATTTTGAATAAGTCTACTGCTGAGTTCTGCCTGCCACTTTATCAAGCAAGTCCAAATTAATCTTTTCTTGAAGCGTGTTGTTGATTAGCTTTGTGAAGATTGGCAACAAGTCGATTGATCAACCTGCAATTCTTCATTCTTCACATCCCATTTCTTTTCACTTTTTTTGTGTGGTAAAATCATTCATTTGGTAGGCCTTTGCTCTGAAATCATCATTACTTTGAAACAACACAAATCAAAACACACTGATGTTCTTGTTAATGAATTCCTTCCTAATTTCACGAATTCCGCTTCAACGCCATCTTTACCACAGGCTTCATCTTTGTTGAGTCTTTCATTGATGAAAAATGAATTGTTCTGACAGACGTGGAATTTTTCGACGTTTAAATGCCATACTTTGCGAAAGGAAGGGTGCGAAATCTAATCATATCATTTTTGTTTCTATAGGAGACATATTTGTAATAACCTACATGAGTGATCAATAAAAAATCGCAGTTTTTTTTCAAAATTGCAGTCTATGCTTCCTGTTAACATACAATCGAACCATCGCATAAATCACTGTAAGTAAAATGGCTGAAATGGACAGTGCAACAACCCATCCGAAGACATGACTATCGATCAGCTCAGGAGATCGTTCTTCGGGAAGGTGAGTCGTTTCGTTCAACAAGAATCCCAACGTCCATCCGATATCTGACATGGCAATCTGCAAAAATGTCATTTAAATTTGTCATTAGTGTCATTGCAATAAATTTCCTTTCGATTACCATTTTCACAAATTGTATCGACCGGAAGTTGAACGCGTTGAAACCGAACGAGCGAAGAAGGGCCAGTGAATATTGACCTTGAAAACAGATTTCGTTTTGAAACGGAGAACTTGGATACCGTTGCTTCAGTTCTTTGCTTGAAAGCTGGCAATAAGTATGAAGTGCTGTGCTGATGTCGTTATAGTCACAGTTCGGGGTGCAGTTAAAGAATTTTGCGAAATAATAAAACACGGAATACGCCTAAACAACGCAGAATGTACGTGACCACTTCTCGTATGACAAATACGTACGATGAATTTGCCCCTCAGCGAGGGCTGGTACACGTTGTCGAACGAACAATGCGAATATTTGCAATTGAGGTTTTCAAACAGATCGGCAACGCGGTCACGACATATGTCTGCATCAGAAGTTCCATAGAAGTGATATGCACCATTCTGAAACTAAATACAAACATGTCCCGTATGATGTGTTACTGTAGAATATGTAAAGATTTGACGGCTATATTTAATGTGATCTCAATGAGGAGACTACAGGACAAGTTGGCAAAGCACGCCTTCCTGGCAACCCCACCGGGAAAGACGGTCGAAGGGCAGAGCAGATCGCAGAAGCGATGGCTCGATTCCATTGAATATCCTATTTCATCGCACTTTCGGATCAAGACCAATCGAAAAGATTGTCCGTTTTACAGCAGACCCGGATGGTTGGAAGGAATTGTTGAAACAGCTACCTCCGCAACGCGAAAGGCATCGAAAACGAACGAACGAAATTAATAAATCATCGTTGCTAAAGAATAATTACAACTCCAATTTATGTGAAACCTATGTGGTCCATTTATGATTGTGCATAAAAAAATCGTCGACTCTGCGACGATCCAGTTTCGATGGTTTGAAGCACGCTAACGCTGCTCTCTTACCTCTACTAATTGCGTTTCTGGCGAAAGACAAGGTTGTGGAGTGAAAAATCAGATACCCATATAAGTGCCCGAATTCTTTAAGTTTCCAACTAATGAAGACCCCGGATGTTATTTGCCATAATTTCTCGATACCACGAAAAACTTGAGCAATAAGTGTGTAATTAGGTCCACCAGCCGTATTAGAAAAAGGTTAGTTTTTTATAGAACAGCTGATTGCCTATCATCGCTCATAAACAACCTCTTTGCAACTTACCCTCAAGCTTGAGCTGGCGGAATGCGTGCATGGTCTGACGAACACATCAGAAACGTTGAGTGTGTAATTCACACCTATCGGTTCGCATGGGCTCGCGACTATGCTCGATCTGAAATACAGTATTCTCGGTTGATGGCATTTCATCACCGGTCGAAACACTACTTCGCCTGAAGGGCGAGGTTGGCTTTTACTCGAATCCTCGCCTGATCGACACCAAAGCACATAAAGCTGTGCTGATACAAGAAGTAGTCTTCACCGTAGATTCTGAGACGAGTAGTAAAGTTTTCCATCGCCTCCGTTTGGTTGATCTGAAACATTCCTCCGACCACAATTACGACGGCTCCAAGCACGAAGTTCACAGTAGGCCAAAATTCTTACCTCAAAGGCTATCTGCATGGAAGCGCCACCGAGGTCCATGGAACCGAAGGTTTGCACTTGGGCGACATTCGTACTTGGTTTGTTCTAAATATATATATTGTGGCGTGGAGTGGCGATTGCCACAGAAACGAATGCGGAATCGTACCTCTAAAAAGAATCCATTCAGGTAATTGATCGTTATCCACCCGGCAATGGCTTCCACGCTGCCTTTGAGTATTGTGGCGCTTTGTACGCGGAAGTCGTAGCTTTGTAGCACCCGCTTGGCTTCAGATAACACGAGGTAGCTTTTCTCTGGCTGCACCAATCTGTGGGGCAGGTAAACTCAGTACGTAACGTGAGGAAACGAGGCAATTTATCATCAGTATCAAACTTTATTATGACCTCAATGGGCTTTAAATACAGAGGGAAATGTCGGTAAAAGTCTATCGTTCTGAGAAACCTATAAAATTGCACTTTATTAACGTGAGTTTTCCAAAATCAATCTTTCGTCCTCGTCACAAAAGTGGACGACGACCATATTATGGAAATGTTAATGGGGACGGCGTTGTTAATTCTTCTTGAGCCAAAACGGTAGCCTTAAGAATCTGTCGTGAACCATTTAATTGGCAGGCAAAAAAGATTTTATAATCACAGTTATTATCTCCAAATGATGGACATCATCTCTTGATGGTAATGCAGTAGAGCGTTTAAGGATAACAGCTGTTTTGCTTGGTGAAATACCGTCAATCGACTGCACGTTCATGATCATAAATAAACCGCTTTGGTATATTCTCTTCCATCAAATCCTCAAGTTCAGTTCTTTCAAAAATTGGACTTTGAAGGCTCTTGGGTAGAGTCATAAGTCTAACAGTAGGTCAGATCGCATGCCCGTTTGGAATAAAAAATTTCCAGTTATCATACATGGTTTGTTGTTTAATCATAACGAGGATGGTTTTTCGATCGAAACGTTTGTTCTTCATTTGATTGCCATCATCTATGTGGGAGAGTCGCCAGCGTGAGTCTGCGTTACTCAAATCTTCCTTATTCCTCAGCATTTTTATGAGAGAGGTTTTTCAGCAGTCCATAGCGAGGTCCCCACCCTTGCGAGCTATTGCGAATGTCTTTCGAACTTTTATCAAGTCCAATGGATTCAGGGAAGTGAAGCACCTCGTTAGGTATTGGTAACAGAACATATCGACAAGTAGAGAGCACCCGCCGTCTCGACCCACCGGAATGAGCTCCTGCACCGTTTTTAGGCATCCATTTTACGAAATTTAGATCATCTAAACGCTTGCTGCCAAACTCTAAATCTTCTGTTCCAAAATTAGCTCAGTGTCGTGTGTAGTTGAGTTGTTCTGCTATAATAACCCCCCTCAGTTGGAGAGTAAACGTTGTGGTGAAAAACGTCACGCAAACTTTGTCAAACCTGAAGGTTTGCCGGCATCTCTAGGCATCCGTAGCATACATAGTGACAAGGTTCTGAAATTATCCTCAAATAAGGATCTAAAGACGACAACGAGGATCCACTTCATGGAAACAGACAAGTGAGGGGGCTACAGAAACAAGTGCCTAAATACGTGCTCTTGGAAGTACTGCAGTTGTAATAGTGATACAACGTTT